GTAGAATTAAGTAACCACGGAAAATAGAAATCCCGTGTCCATGGGCTGGGATGCGAGGTTGATGGAGCATTTTTGAGGTGGTCCCACTCGTCAAGACGTCATCAAAGTAACGATAAATATGCTTTGCCCCCGTATTCGGGTATTTGTGAGGCTGGGACCATGAGAGGATAAAAAAAATTGTTAAGGTGACAGGACGAAAATAAGTAACCACAAAAATAGAAATCCCATTTCAAAAAATGGGCTAGGATGCGAGGTTGATGAAGCATTTTTAAGGTGGTCCCACTCGTCAAGACGTCATCAAAGTAACGATAAATATGCTTTGCCCCCGTATTCGGGTATTTATGAGGCTGGGACCATGAGAGGATAGAAAAATAAGTAACCACAAAAATAGAGATCCCATTTCGAAAAATATCGACCACAGTGGGAGTCGAACCCACGACCTTCTGATCCGAAGTCAGACGCGCTAATCCACTGCGCTATGCGGTCTTGAATGATATCTTCCACACTATACTTCTTTAGTAATGGAATATTAATGAATGAGTCGCTAATGTGCACAGGAGAAAGGGCAAAGAACGTTTCCACGCACGTGCGGCATCTGCGGGGAGCAGGCCACCACAGCTTTCCACGCCCGCATCACACGTGCCGCCTCCTCAGTCCGCCCCCCTCACTCTCGCCTACTCCCTCCGCGCCCGCCGGCGAGCGGATCCGCCGCCGTCTGACCATGAAGCAGCTCCACCGCCAGCCCAGCCTCAGCAAGCAGCACCGCCCGCACCACCGCGCCTCCCTCTCCCGCTCCCTCGCCTCCTACCTCCTCCGCGAGCACCGCCTCCTCTTCGTCCTCCTCGGCTTCCTCCTCGCCTCCTCCTTCTTCCTCCTCTACCCCGCCCTCGCCCCGCACCCTATCTCCCTCTCCTCCGCCGCATACGCTGCCACCGCCACTTCTGCCATCAGAAACCCCCGCGTCTTCTCCTTCTCCACCGCCAACGCGTCGCCGCGCCGCCTCCCCGTCGGCGTCCGCAAAAAGCCCCTGCGGGTGGTCGTCACCGGCGGCGCCGGCTTCGTCGGCAGCCACCTCGTGGACAAGCTCCTCGCCCGCGGGGACAGCGTCATCGTCGTCGACAACTTCTTCACGGGCCGCAAGGAAAACGTCGCGCACCACCTCGCCAACCCTCGCTTCGAGCTCATCCGCCACGATGTCGTCGAGCCCATCCTCCTCGAGGTCGACCAGATCTACCACCTCGCCTGCCCCGCCTCCCCCGTCCACTACAAATTCAACCCAATCAAGACCATCATATCCTTTTTTTCCATTTCCACTGTAAATGTTCGAGTTTGTTTGCTTTTATGTATTCAGTTGCGTATATAGAAAGGATTGCTTAAATACTAGTAGGTCAATAATGGCATAGGAAAATTGAGATGTTGTGCCTGCATTGCCAGAAAACCTAGAGTTTTCTGTAGTTTTTGTTTCGATACTGTTCCTAATAGGTTCCTTAACTAATAGTGCACAAGACAAATGTGATGGGGACGTTGAACATGCTGGGACTGGCGAAGAGGGTCGGTGCCCGGTTCTTGCTCACCAGTACCAGTGAGGTGTATGGTGATCCTCTAGAGCATCCTCAGAAGGAGAGTTACTGGGGCCATGTCAATCCCATAGGTGTGCTCATTTTATCTGGAGGAGATAACATTTCTCATGCGCAACAAGCCAAATAGTACTATATTTCAACCACTGCCCGTTTCTGTCTGCCCACTCCACTGCATTTTGATATGTGCCATTTTTGTGGCAATGTGTAGGTATAAGGAGTTGTTACGACGAGGGAAAGAGAACAGCAGAAACTCTGACCATGGATTACCATCGTGGTGCTGGCGTTGAGGTAAAGCTGCAGTTGCTGAATTGTGGTCTTAGTCAAACTATAGACTTCCTTGTTGGCAATGTCATGTGTTGCCTAAAATTAACTGCACGGCGCCCCTCAGCATATATTAATAGTGTGGCTCAAAGCTTGTTTTACGATCTGGTAAGATGTGCAATTAAACCAGGCAAAAATCATTATGTATCTACCCGCAAAAAAAATCATTATGTATCTGAGATGGTATTTATAGGTGATGTTTCAGTAATTTCCTTTTTGAGTAAGTGAACTTGAGAGGGCTCAAATGCCAAATATTGGACCCATGTGCTTCATGCTGTCTGTGTATGTTTATATGTACTACATTTTGGGCAATCATGAGCAGGAGAGATTGTGCCATGTGTTTGTCTCAAAATATATTTTTTGCCAGAAAAAAGTACCTTTGTGATGTTGGGAACTCATTACATGTAGCCGTTTTGAAGTAAAAACATACAGTAATGAGCGTAAAATTGACTGCTCTTAGTTTGAGTAGAAGGTCTTCTCTTGAGTTTTTAAAATGAATATTCAAGGTATTGCTTACATATTTTTAACTGGACGGAGTGAATCAAAGAGGGACAGTACATTTGGCAAGATTCTGCTTATGATCTGCTTTATCTGTGTTCCATTACTGTCTTACATATCTTAAAGATCAAATTTGACAAGGGAACTTTCTTCAGGTTAGAATTGCTCGCATATTCAACACGTACGGCCCTCGTATGTGTTTAGATGATGGCCGGGTTGTTAGCAACTTTGTTGCACAGGTTTGTCTTAATTCATAGCTCTTATTCAAAAGGAGGACTACCATAGAAATTTGGCATTACCCAATATCCATTGTCTCTCATTTCCAGACTTTGCGAGAGCAGCCAATGACGGTTTATGGTGATGGAAAGCAAACAAGAAGCTTTCAATATGTTTCGGATTTGGTACTTGACTTGTTCATTTTTCCTTGTCTAAATGTGGAAGCAGCAATTTCTGTTTTGTTGTTCAAAACTGCATCAATGCCTTATGCATTCGAATCTTAAAAACTTTAACCATCTGTTAATTTGTAGGTTGATGGGTTGATAACTCTGATGGAAAATAAGTACATTGGACCTTTCAACTTGGGAAACCCTGGGGAGTTTACCATGTTGGAGCTTGCTCAGGTCTGACCTTGATACCGAAACTGACTGACCTCCACTTCTTGTTTAAACATAAAGTGGATATTTTTATACATTTTTTGCCTATGAGGAATAACGTTTCCGCACTATATTCCACAGGTAGTGAAAGAGACAATTGACCCAAGTGCGCGTGTTGAATTTAAACCCAACACCGCCGATGATCCGCACATGAGAAAACCTGACATCTCAAAGGCCAAATCTCTTCTCAATTGGGAGCCAAAAGTCTCTCTGAAGCAAGGCCTGCCACGCATGGTTTCAGACTTCCAGAAACGCATCTTGGATGAGAAATGAGGGGCAGGAGTTACCGAAGTCGGATCTGTATTATACTTCACACGGAGCGTTCTTTAGTGCCTTGGCAAGCTCGGCTGCAGGCGTATAGATTACAGATAGCTTACCCAGGATTCTTCTTCCATGCAACTCTTTAGTGACATGACATGCGTTACCTGATTTTAGTTTCATTGATACATAAGTTTTGTCTCGGAAATCAGAATCATGTGATCATGTTCTTGTCAACTCCTTAGCCTTTCAAAGTACATGAATAGAGAGTTTTTTATTATTTCTTTTTTGCTTAAATTCTAGTATCCTGGCACCCATTTGTTTTCTGTTTGTAGGAGCTCATGACACTCTGCTTTTCGTGTGGTTTATGTTCTGTAAGCTCATCCAAACAGTTAAGTTTTTCAGGATTTCATTTGATGTGACCCAGGAGGCCAGGACATCACAAATATACTTAGTTTTCTTCATAAAATATGCATAAATATACACTTAGTTCGCATTACATATAGGAGTATTATGGTAGTAAAATGCATAGGCCGTGAAATTCAGATTACAAATGTTGAGCGCGACGGCAGAGCATCATATAACCTGGAAGGACAAACACTTGGAATGTGGTAGCACTAGTTAGGGAAGCAGCTCAGGAGAGGTGAATGTCGAACTGGAGGAGGCCCTCGACGCCGTCGGCGGCGTGCTGGTCGCCGGGGTGCAGCGTGCGGATGGCGGCGAAGCCCTTGGCGGTCTCGTACTTCCCTGTGCCGCCAATGACGGCGATGCGGGACTCCGGCGCCGCCAACTGGTGCACCCCGAAGAAGCTGAGCGTGTCGCCGTGCACTTCGCCGCCGAACATGGCCGTCAGCACGACCGTCTTGCTGCTGCCGTCCTGCGAGCTCGCGACGTAGAACCCCTGCGCCCTGCCGACGGCCGCGGCGCCGAGCTCATGGCCCCCGGCGAGCTCCTCGTCCACGACGGTGGTCATGCCGAGGAGGAGGTTCTGGGTCTGGGGCGTGTCGCCACCGCCAGAACCGTTGACGGAGGGGATGGTGTTCTTGTAGCCGCCGTTGACGGCGTTTCCGTTGCTCTGGACGAGGCTGTCGTAGGGGACGACGTCGTTGCCGCTGGCCAGGCCGTCGGCGCTCGCCACCACCCCGGTCACCATGAGCGCCGACGTCTGCGACGAGGTGCCGAGGATGTCATGCATGAAGAACGTCAGGGGGCTGTCGCCGGCTCCTACGTTGGCCGTTGCACCAACGCCAGCGGCCGGAGCTACGCCAGCGGCGCCCGCGGCATTGGATGGCAAAGGCAACGCCGCCGTGGGCGCGGGGACCGGCACTACCTCTGGGTCGACAGGCGGGTCGGTCGGCCCCGGCAATGGATCGGTCTCTAACGGAGGCGCCGCGGGATGGTCGTTGAGGACGCGGCCCGCGAGTGCGCAGCTCGTCAGTGCAAGCGCGAACATCATGTAGATGTAGAGCGCCCCCTTGGCCATCTTGGCGCGTGCGCGGAGGAGACCGGGGAGTGCTGCTGGTGTGCATCGTTACGTGCATGTTAGCCAGATTTATATAGGGTTTTGGGTGTGCAAATCAAACGCACTGATCGACGTTGCAGGTGCAGGCCGCGACACACGGGTGGTGTGGAGTTGTTGCTCCGTACCTGAACCACTTGTGATATTGCCGTAGTTGCATAAGATTGCGTCCAAGGTGTCTAAAAGCTTGTCGGACAAACGAGGGATAGTTGGGGGGAGTGGGATGACTTCTATGCAATTTCCACATCCTAAGCCGCTGAAGAGCAACGACTAACATAAGCATCATTTCATGTAACACACATTCAAAACATACCAAACAAGGCAACTGCATGATTATCAACCAGTTCATACCAAAAATTCACATTTATACTCCATCTCCGCGCAGAAAATCCACTGGTTTTTCTCCAGTTGGGAGGGGAACCCTAGGCCACAGTTATTACAACTAATAGTTACAACCACATCCCTTCACCTGTCTCTGTCTGTATGATGATCCACTACAACGAACCTACGGCATCTCAGCTTGCTCAAATGGCAATCGCTGCAAACCATGGAGCCACAAAAGCTACACCAGATTATCCTGTCCCCAGGAACTCAGCAATGGTTTCCACCACAAGATCCTTAAGCAACATCCTCTCCATCTCCCTCCCGACAAGATCGACGCCATCCTCAGAGCCATGCCGCTCGAAGTCCATCATCAGCGGGTCGCCCTGGTTACCGTCCATCTCTTGCCGTATCTCGAACACCCTCTGCCACACATCAACGACAAACCCCTCCTGATCCCACCTGGATGAGAACCTTCGCAGCAACCCCTTTGACCCATGATGCACCAGAGAGGCTATCAGATCTGCAATCACGGTGTTTGTGAGCTCAAACAGGAGCATCCTCTCCGACGCCGGCCATAGAATGAGGCTGCTGTACTTGTTCTCAAGTATATCGTATATATCAGGGCCAGCAGGATATTCCGAAAAGCAGCGCACGTCGAGTAGCCCGTCCTGGAAAGCGTCATCAATGCCCAATAAGGTGAGCATATCAAGCACATACGAGAAATCTCGTTCTTCCTCATCCACGAAAGCATGGGGTAGTATCTCCATTTCAGCAAGTGGCTCATCTGCCGAGGCAACCTCGTCGTCGCTCGCTGTAAGATGATCGGTGTCGTCTGCATCGTCTGTGGTCTCCGACTTGAGAAGCTGAAGTTGCATTCGCAGTCCTGTAATATTACGGAAAGTCAAACTCAAGAGCTGAGAATTTAAAGGGAAGGTGAATAGGCAAAGAAAAACTCGACCACTTGCCTTGAAGATCGGCACTAATTTTCTCGAAATCTCCTGAGTAAACTTCTTCAGCATCCAAGGAAGATTCAAGAACAGACACTGGACTTGGCTGCTCATCATTGTTGAAGCTCACCGGAGATTCTGATCCTGTCGGGTGAATCCACGAGGCTTGATTGTCATTGTCAACACCATGATGGTGGTCAATCCCCACAGGAGATTCTGTTTCTGTTGGCAGATTAAACAGAGCTGCGTAAACATCATCCACATGATTTTCAATCCCCTCGGCCTGCAATAGAATACAATCAGAAGTTGGTAAACATGGCAATCGATAAATCAATTGAGCTTCCAGAATTATCAAAGAGCTGAAAGACCTGGTTGAGGGAAACAAGAGGGGAGAAAAATGGGATGTACATGTAGTAATGTATAAAAAAAAGGGCAGCCCGGTGCATGTAGCTCCCGCTTGCGCAGGGTCCGGGGAAGGGTCCGACCACTTTGGGTCTATAGTACACAGCCTTTCCCTACATTTCTGTAAGAGGCTGTTTCCAGGACTTGAACCCGTGACCTCATGGTCACAAGGCAGCAGCTTTACCACTGCGCCAAGGCTCCCCTTCATATAAATTAATGTATATCCACAGGAATTTATTAAGGATACAAGAAAAAAACTGCATAATAAGCTAAAATTAGATGGTACATGCGATATACCTGAGCCAGCAGATTGTCAAAATTAGGAACATGAAGGCAGAAATCAAATGCTGTCGATGGCTGTTGATGCATGTGCTGATTCAGTTTAGCAGGAGAAAGTGGTTCTTTATTCTGTTGAAAAACTGCAGAACTGGTATCCAGATGACGCACTCCATCTAATTCATGGCCAGAATTCACGGTATGTGCAAGTGTCTGTTCAGATGAATCTGGCATGTCAATAACATCTGGTGCTTCCTGAGAACTCACATGTATCTCATGGTCAATCATGGTTCTTCCCTCATCATCTGGGAGCACTTGATCTTCATCACCACGAAAAGGTGAACCTCCGACCAGGGATTTTCTTTGTCTACTATGACATGCGTACTCAGAATCATGGGGTCCTATTTTGAGAACATCTTTAAGCATAGAAAACTCATTTTGCCTACCCGTTCTTTTTCTGTTGCTCGACTTTTGAACTCCATGGTTAGAGAATGATGGAAGAGATTTAGACCTTGCTGAATTGCTTGGAGCTACACCTCTCCAACCATCCTTGCTGCTGATGCCAAGAGGATTGCTACACGAGACTGGCACTCTGTTTCGCTGCAGTTCTCCCTTTGGACATTTCTGGTATGACATTGTTTGGGTAGCAACTTCTGATGTTTCCTCGTCAGAGAGAACAAACATGTCTCCAAGCACGCCGAAGCCATTATTCTCAGGTTCTTGATGCTGAAATTGATGCGCTATCTTCCATCTGCTAGAGAGCTGTTTCTTTGCTTCATTTATGACTGATGTGTCATTTGAATATGCTGGCGAAGTGTTGAAGGTGGGAGAAGCCCAACCGTCACATAATTCAGAAGACCTATGGACTCTCTCCGAATTCTTGACCTTAGCAAGAGATGACACAAACTGTGAGCTTTCATCTGACAAAATTGTGCTGGTGTCTGGTTGGAGAACACGGCCCCTAGCAGCTCTCATTTGTTTTGCAACCTCTCTAGCAATTTCTCTAGATCCCTTTTTTATATGGCCTGACGTTTCAGGATCGCCAGGGGATACTTGACACATGGACTCATCAGTATATGGACTCCACATGCCAGCACACTGGCATGCTGTGTGCCTTCTGTAATCAGAATGAGGGATTTCATGTGGTAGGCCGAAGGATCCTTCAAGGTCCTGAGCTTTCTCAAAGCATGGCTTCAGGACAACAATCCGTGTGGGACAAGCTCGTTTATCACTGATTTCCTGACTTGACCTTGATAGTTTCTGCCTCGATGAACCAGAGTCTTCTCTTGGGAATTGACTGGATAACTTAGTATGTGGTTTCCTCGTGGGGTATTTCACTTCATTTTGCTTGCGGAAAAAGCTTTCTGTATCATTATCATGTGAACAGATGTTGTCTGCATCAATAAATTGATTTCTTTTAGATGGCTTCAATATTGTAATGCAGTTTCCATAAGAGGAGGCAGAACCCAGATCGCGTTTTTCAAGAAATTCCAAAAGAAGATCCTTATTAGATACCAATGCATCAAGTGTCTCATTCAACTCTTCTGACATCTGAAGGGATTCATCTGTAGAAAGACGTTTTGCATCCATAAATTTGTGCCTTATGAAATCTAGATTAGCCTTCTCAGCTGCATCAAATCTGGAAGTTGTATTTCCATTTCTACCTCTTGGGCTTCGGTGTGCCTTTACTCCCATCACATCCATAACCTCAAAAACATCTTTGACCTCTGGCATCTCATCATTCTTTCTCCTCTGTGGAACATATCTATCATGAGAAATAAAAGATGGCGTCTTGTGTGCATGACTTCTGCTACTTCTGTGCTGGCTATGGGTCCCAGACGAGGTAGGGAGTGAATCAAGACCCATTAGTCTTCCTACAGCACCTGGTGAAGTATGCCTGGCATTGACATCTTTCAAGAACTCTTCATCTATTAGCTTTTTCATCGGTACACAGCTGGACTGTCTTGGTTTACTTTTCCTGATTTCCTCGTCAAACTGAAAAAAAGTTAAACAATCAAATAACTGGGGCAAAAAAGTTTGATAGCAGAGGATAACTACAAAATTTTAGTGGATTTCTAAGGAGTTAAGCCACTTCTTTTGCAGATAGAAAGTTATGGCTAGCTATCTCCAAGCTATTCCAAGATAAGTCACATATGGTAAAAATAGAAAAGGAACAAAATATGCACCCAAGATAGGTCACATAAGGTAAGCATATTTATCTTTATCTTTACTCTTATAAACATCTGAGTTCGTAGAGATCCGTTCACATTCACTGGCATTACCTCTTAATTCATTTGAAAATTATCACAGTTGTCATCCATTAAGTAGAGGTTATAAGTTATGTTTTGTTATATTGCAACAGTTGTTTAAATGGTTGCTCCATCAGTCCCTTACATTGCAAGGCACAAGCATTTTGCTCTGGATAAAGAAAATACTAATACAGGTTGAAAGGATCATAAAATGATAGGTTTAGTAATTTTCACAAAATCAAGTACTTAATCCTTGAAAAATATGAATGTTGGGGTATTAAAAAGGAGAAAGATTAAGTCTCTTGGTAGGGATTTCTCATAGTTAAACGTTATAAATCGTGTATCTTGGCTTTCTAGAACAGTTGAATTTCTAACTTACCATGCTATTTTGTCACAAGTATACCTACATGGAATAGCAGAGCTATCGCTAGCTATAAGCTAAGGCAAATAAGGAGTCCATTTGCAGCCATAGCGCCCGTCACTACTACAACAGAATAATCCTGCTATGGCCAACAGAATAACATGCACACATTTGAAGTAAACTCGATACTGCAGAGCGCACATCAATTGTTGATATTAGAGCAACACATGTAAACCAATTTAAGCTCTCCAGTTTCATATCAGAGGGTTATAGTTAGGCCCTGTTCGGAGTCACTCCAGCTCCTAAAAATACGAGGAGCTGCGGAGCATCTCTTTCCCAGCTCCGTGCTTTTTAACTCCAGCTCCGGGAGCGGAGTGGTGGAGTGGCGGGTCTCCAAACAGGGCC